ATTCATTAGTCATTTGTATTAGTATACTTTAATTAGTAATTACTAATAATTATAAATTATATTATATTATATTTAGAATTATAAAATTGTTTTTACTTCACAACATCAGTCGAGTATTTAAAATAATATCCTTTTGCGATCTGATGCGGCTTCTCGTCACAGAATGAGGCAGAAAATATACTCTATACTGTAATAAAGGCTATGCTGATTAGAAATGGCTTTTAAATATTTACTTAAACATCATGAAAGAACCCGAGATGGCTTGAAGAACACAGATAAACCATATATTGTCGCAGGCAAGTGTTTATTGTCCTTATATTTCATAATACAAAAGTTTAACATTATATATTTTTATTCAGTTACAGCAATAGCGATGCCTTTATCCATATTAGGGATTTCCTGGAAGGTCATCAGTGTTACTTCTGTGATGCATATGTGGAGTTTCTGCACGGGGGCGCTCTCTGGCTACCAGTATGAATGAAACACGCATTACATGCGTTTATAGCGCTCAATAATGGCCAATTCATCCTATTTTGGGTAAAAATTGGAAAAATAATACCACTGTCAAAAGAAATTAAGTATGCAAATAATAATCCACGCTTTTTCCAGTGTACAGAAGTTTACAGGAGTTTTATGTTGTTAATTTGTTGCAAAAAACACTCTGGTGTGCCGAGCCATTAGAACCGAACCGAAAACCATGTTTAAAAAAACGGAGGTATGTATTGAACTGTGGACTAACTGTATTGTTGCATCCCTACTAAATACACAAATAAAACATCTAAAATAAACTAACAAACAAAAACCTCACATCTTAAATCTAAAACCAGAAAACACACACACACACACACACACACACACACACCTAAAACAAACAAAAGCAAACAAACAAAACACACATTTATCTAAAACAAAAGCAAACAAACATGTAAAACAAGAAACATGCATCTAAAAAAACAAAAGCAATCAAACATGTAAAACAAAAGCACACATGTAAAACAAATTAAAGCAAACAAACATCTTAAAATCAAACAAATGCAAACAAACATCTTAAACAAAAGCAAACAAACATGTAAAAGAAAAATGTAAATAATAGCAAACAAACATATAAAACAAACAAAAAGTAACTGAATATCTAAAACTAAAGCAAGCAAACATCTTAAAATCAAACAAAAGCAAGCAAACATCTGAAATAATCTAAAGCAAGCAAACATCTTAAAAGCGAAACAAATGCAAACAAACATGCAAAACAAACAAAAGCAAACAAACATGCAAAACAAACAAAAGCAAACAATCACCAAACTGCTCCCTTTTTGTGGGAAGCGTCTTGAGCATAATGACAATGCTAACCTTATGAATGACGCCAAGACTGGCTGTTGCTGTAAATTTGGCCCAGTTAGTTGCTCTTGCCAGCCACTCCAAATTCTCTCTGTAAAATACAAAGGACACAATTATCATAATCTGTTTTCTTGTTATCAGTATCATTAAGGATTAGCGAGACTAAGCATGTGAATGTGCTTTACCGTAGAAACTGGTCACTTGTTGTTCCCGTGTGCATGAATGAGTTTGCTATGACCGTCGCTGTGTGACACACCGAATTTCGCACCGCATCCTGAAATAGCCAGGAATAAAACAATTAGCATACGAATTTGAGTATACCAACATCTAGGATTTGATTTTTATTACATTTACTTGAGCTGATATCAAAGACCATTAGAGGATTTAATCAGTTCAAGAGCTGGATTCTCACCTTTGTGTTTTTGAGGATCATCAGGTCTGTGTTGTTGTTTCGAATGAGGAACTGAAGGTGCAGCTCAATGGCCATTTCACCACTTAGTATTTTGATCATTTTTGAGTTCTGGTCTTTGGGCTCACCCTTCTATTTTAAGAAAATACAATTTAAACATTTTTATACAAGACTGATATCAGATGAGCTAAAAGACTTAAAGTGATGACTCACCACATCTGCAGCTTTTCCAGCTGGCGAACTTCCAGCTTTATCCTCTGTCTCCATGGCATCACTGAAACAATAACAACATATTCAATTTATGTTCCAAATCAGATTATTAAAATGTCTTAGATTTCAACCTTTTTGTTAAAATAACCCTCAAGGATGCGAGTTAAAGTTAAGTGATTTTACTATGATTAAGGGGGGTGACTCAAGAAAACTAACTTGAATAAATAAATAATTTACAAAAACGAAAAATGCAAAGAAAATGAAGCCTCTTTAAGGACCATTATTATTTTTTGCAGTGACGTTTCTAATTGTCAATGACAATGAAATACTGTATGTTTTTATTTTTCGCATTTAAATAAACGTAAATATAGGGGTAGAATAGCCTTCATTTTCTTAATATATAAAAAAAATTGGAAAATATATACATAAAACTACTGCTATCATGACGGCTGCATGTGCTTTATGAAGCTTCAAAACTCTGGCACCCATTCGCTTTTCCACTGCGTGGTACGACTAGTCACGGCTCAGTACGGCACAATTTACAAAAACGAAAAATGCAAAGAAAATGAAGCTTCTTTAAGGACCATTATTATTTTTTGCAGTGACGTTTCTAATTGTCAATGACAATTAAATACTGTATGTTTTTATTTTTCGCATTTAAATAAATGTAAATATGGGGGTAGAATAGCCTTCATTTTCTTAATATATTAAAAAAATTGAAAATATATACATAAAACTACTACTATCATGACGGCTGCATGTGCTTTATGAAGCTTCAAAACTCTGGCACCCATTCAATTTATGACTCTGCAGATAAATAACATACAGATTCCAGGATGGTTTTCTCGAAGATGTCCAAGCGCCGGGTCTCCAGCGCGATGCCGATGGCTTGTTTGTACATGTGATCTCCTAAGCAGCGCTGGAACATCTTGTTGACGATTCCCTCTAGACGAGGATCAATGCTTTTCTTCTCCTCATCCTCTGGCAGCTCGGCGTTCTCGACACGCAGTTTGGTGTAATGATCGATACACTTGGCTGATGGCCAAAAAGACATATATTGACAAGGGTTGGTAAGATTTATGTTTTTGAAAGAAGTCTCTTGTGCTCTCCAAGTCAGCATTTATTAGGAGTGCAATGGATCGTGTGTCAGCCACACCACACGGATACGTTGTTTTTGGTCAAATCAAAGTGTAAATAAATGTAGAAAACGTATATGTGTGGTGCGGCTGACACAGAACAGCATACGCGGTTTACGTTCAGTGGATAGTCTCCAAAATGGTGCTATGGTGACGCGAAGGAGACTAATTGTTGAATAAAGTCGTTGTTTTTGTTTTTTTTGCGTACAAAAAGTATTCTCGTAGCCTAGTAAAATTACGGTTGAACCCCTGATGTCACATGGATTATTTTAACGATCTCCTTGCTACGTTTCTGAGCCTTGATCGTGTTAGGATCCTTGTTGTCTATGGGAGGGTCAGAGAGCCCTCAGATTTAATCAAAAATATCTTAATTTGTGTTCCGAAGATGAACGGAGGTCTTACGGGTTTGAAACGACACGAGGGTGAGTAATTAATGACAGAATTTTTATTTTGGGGTGGAGTAACCCTTTAAAGCGGTCATGACATGAGAAATCAAATGTGCCTTGATCTTTTGGCATATAAGAGGTCTTTGTACCATTAAAACATCCTGCAAGTTTCATAGCTTAAAACCTCCTCCGCATTATAAACAAAGCATTTATTTGATCAAGCTCCAAAAATGGCTTGTTTGGATCTGAGGGGCAAGATGATGTCACAGGGGAACAATAATTTGCATAAACACTGCCTCCAGAGCAAGACATCGACAAATAGTCTTCTTCTCACCATAGGCCCCACCCACTGACGTTCACGCACTTAACAGCTGACACTTGTCTTGATTACGCAACGTGACACTCATTTAGAGTCACATCAAAAACAAACAGAAATGACAATCACTGCCGCTATCTTGTCTACACTGGATACATTCTACAGATGCGCGTTCACTTTCTGACACAGTGCAGTGTTTCCCACAGACTTGCACTCTATTTGTGGCGGCATATATATGCAAATTCATTCTCTGCCAGCAGGAGGCGCTTAGAGCGGGAGAGATAGCAGTTTCCCCGGTAACGCTGTAATCAAATAAGCGCTGCGCTTACATTACAGGCAAGATGAAATGAAAATTACATCCATAATTTTCTGAAGACAGTCGGTTTCCTTCAGAAATACAGTGATATAAAAACACCCGCGCAGGGTTTCGACTTTGACACGTGCAGTGCTCATGTTTATTCAACGAAGTCAAAGCCTTTTGGAAAATCTATTTTTGGCGGTCAGTTTCGATACTGTGGCGGGCCGCAACAAATAAATCAATGTATGGGAAACACTGCAGTCCACGCGCTCGAGTCTGTCGTCAATCGGACAAATGGACTGAAAGATTGTTCGCTTTGACACGTTTGGTTTAAACGGCTCGTTCACATCTTTGTACAGATATCAGAAAGAGCTCAGCGTAAGGAACAAGTGGATTGTTTATATTTAATGGCACCCCGGATCGTGTCAGAGGATTGATCGGAGCATGTTGTTTTGTAAACGAGGCACAGTGTCATGGAGAGTTCACGAAGAAACATTTGTTGAAAGATGAAGCGGTACTAGATCTGACTGCAGCTGCATCACATTGTAAGTAAATGATTTCATAATGCTTTGTCTGGAAATTACCGCTTTATTTTGATCATGTTGTCAAAACACTCAAAACATGCAATAGCGAGGGGGCGCTGACACGGTTTCCTATGCAATGACGTTAGCCAATCATAACAGTGGCCGATTACTGACAAGCCTTTAAAGACCTGCTGCTTGAAACCAGGTCGTTTTAGAGAGAGGTTCAGAATGAGGGTTGAAAATAATCCTTTTTCCACATATTTATTTATTTGTGCAAATAAACTGTATTAACATTATAAGTAAACCTCAAGGAACATATTAAAATAATTAAAACTCCTTTAAAATACCTGTTTTGGCAAGCATTCTGGTAAGCTTATGTCTTTAAGTAAACATAAACAGCTGAGAAAGAAACCGGATGTGTGTCAGTATTAGGTCCGTGCATTTGGTCTTTGTGATAGCAGCCCATTAATACCTGCTTCTGTCTGCTAATCAAACAACACCACAGCTTTAACAAAGATGAATCTGTATTTAACTTATGCAGTGAGCACTGTTGTGCTATTTTACACTTAATTCTTACATTTCTGCACCTGAATGCTACTGTTACTGTCTTTATTTGTAACTGTGTTTTGTTGTATTCATCTATGCTTGTAATTTGTGTAATTATTCTTGTTTTATTACTGACTTTATTAGTTAAGCTGGTAGTTTTTGCTGTGGTATAGAAGTACTTAAAGTAAGTTTTCAGTAATAAATGATAAGCAAACTTTTTTTTGTTTTTTTGCTTATCCAAAAAATATTTTGTGATCCGTTGCACCATTAGCGTTTATGTGATCAAAAATACAGTAAAACAGTAATATTGTGAAATATTCTAACAATTTCAAGTTGTGACGATGGTCAAAAAACAAGCCGATTTGATGGTCAAATAACATTTCTGATTATTATCAGTGTTGAAAACAACTGCTTAATATGTTTTAAGCTTCTTTAAATGAGTAGAACGTTCAAAAGAACAACATTTGAAATGTAAATCTTTTGTAACGTAAATGTCTTTACTGTCAAATTTGCTGAATAGAAGTATTAATTGCTTTTAAATGAATTTCAGAGACAGCTCTTCACTTACCAATAATTGTCTCCACATATTCTGAATTGTCACTGACGTTGAAGAGATCTCCAGCACCCAGTGCGTAGTTTAAAGACTCCTCAAAAGCTCCGAGGTGGTAAAACACTTTAGAAGCCACCAGCGCAGCAAACTCTCTGCTACAAAACGTCTCATCCTCATACAGGACCTCGCTGACAGAGAAAAACTTAGTTCATCATAGGGCTGCACGATTAATCGAATGCGATTGTCATGCGCATTTTGTTAAAAAAGCCGGTTCTGTAATCAGCAGGAAATCATTAGCTTAAATGCACTGCAAGTAGCTTTGGAAAAAAAGCATCTGCCAAATACATAAGTGTAAATGTAAATGTAAAATAACTTAATACTAAGGCTTTAGAGTTTAAATCACTAACCCTACATATTAGCAGTACATTTACCACTGTTTTGCGAAATTTTCCAGGTGAAATCCAGTCATTTCAATGGGAATCCTTGAGAACTGGTATTTCAAGCGAAGGTGAAAGATTTTGCAACGGGTTAAAGTTGGTCACACAGATTCGTCGTGTTAACCAACAGAAAATTACATAAAATGATGACTGGGAGAGACACTTACTTGCTGTGAGAACAAACAGAAGAACTGGTATAAAAACTGGGGAGTGATAAAGCACACATTCTACAAGAAAACAAAACAGAGTTTTATAAAAACGCAAATCTTCAACCGGAAAGCCACACAAAAAGCTCCCAACGTACCTTGTAGAAAAAGTACTGCACAAGGGTTGCTATTCTAATGTAGTAGAAATGGCCGTGTACAAGCAGCAATTTGGCGAGGAACTTGAACCTCGCGATTGCATAGTCGCTGTTCCTCACGGCTTGTCTTCCTTCTTTGCCCATGATTCCTGTACGGAGGTTCATTCGGTTAGCTTGATCGCAATACATTTGACTCGCAAGCCACACCTTTGAGTCCACCTACCAATACCAACGTGAGCCTCCTGGATCATACTGACATCGTTGGCTCCGTCTCCAATGGCTAATGTAATAGGCTTCTCAGGAGAAGTCTTCAACAGTCTCACCACCTGCAAAACACACACCAGCGCTATGAAAACAACAGGCCAGTGTGGGGCGACTGAGCAGAGACCGGACATATTAGTGTGCGTGACCTCTGACCTTGTGGAGAGAGTGAAACCTGAACACAAGGAGGGTAAGGTGACCCACCTTGGCTTTTTGGAGAGGTGCCATTCTGCAGCAGAGTACCGCCGAGCAGTTCTTACACACCTCCATGAAGAGTTTCTCATGCTCCCGCAGAGCCAGAGACAGACTGGCCCCATCCACCACCAGCCCGTGCTGGATCACATGATCCTCCTTGATCCTGCACAAACCCATCTCAAACAATTAGTCCTACAATTAGTTTCCCTTTCAGATGCAACGTTTATGGGAGGAGAGTATTAAAATTAATCACGCAACGCGATTTACTAACATTTACGCTCGTCAAATTACTGGTATTTGCGCAAGTATTTAATGCCCCCAAAAAAGCATGTCTTAAAGGGGTCATGACATGAGAAATCAAAATTGCCTTGATCTTTTGGCATATAAGAGGTCTTTGTTCCATTAAAATGTCCTGCAAGTTTCATAGCTTAAGACGTCCTCCTCATTATAAACAAAGCATTTATTTAATCAAGCTCCAAAAACGACTCGTTTTGGATTCAATGCGGCAAGGTGGCGTCACCTAGCCCCAGTCGTTTGCATATACAACGCCTTCAGATCAACACATTGACATAGGCGCCGCCCACTGGCGTTAAGCCGCTAACGGCTTGTTCACGCTTGATCAATGCGAGTGTCACGTCAGAAATGACAATCACTGCCGCTAACTTGTCTACACTGGATACAGAATAGAGAAGCGCGTTCACTTTCTGACACAGTCCACTCGCTCGAGTCTGTCGTCAATCGGACAAATGGACTGAAAGATTGTTCGCTTTGACACGTTTGGTTTAAACGGCTCGTTCACATCTTTGTACAGATATCAGAAAGATCTCAGCGTAAGGAACAAGTGGATTGTTTATATTTAATGGCACCCCGGATCGTGTCAGAGGATTGATCGGAGCATGTTGTTTTGTAAACGAGGCACAGTGTCATGGAGAGTTCACGAAGAAACATTTGTTGAAAGATGAAGCGGTACTAGATCTGACTGCAGCTGCATCACATTGTAAGTAAATGATTTCATAATGCTTTGTCTGGAAATTACCGCTTTATTTTGATCATGTTGTCAAAACACTCAAAACATGCAATAGCGAGGGGGCGCTGACACGGTTTCCTATGCAATGACGTTAGCCAATCATAACAGTGGCCGATTACTGACAAGCCTTTAAAGACCTGCTGCTTGAAACCAGGTCGTTTTAGAGAGAGGTTCAGAATGAGGGTTGAAAATAATCCTTTTTCCACATATTTATGTTTTTTTGTGCAAAAAACTTTATTAACATTGTAAGTAAACCTCAAGGAACATATTAAAATAATTAAAACTCCTTTAAAATACCTGTTTTGGCAAGCATTCTGGTAAGCTTATGTCTTTAAGTAAACATAAACAGCTGAGAAAGAAACCGGATGTGTGTCAGTATTAGGTCCGTGCATTTGGTCTTTGTGATAGCAGCCCATTAATACCTGCTTCTGTCTGCTAATCAAACAACACCACAGCTTTAACAAATATGAATCTGTATTTAACTTATGCAGTGAGCACTGTTGTGCTACTTTACACTTAATTCTTACATTTCTGCACCTGAATGCTACTGTTACTGTCTTTATTTGTAACTGTGTTTTGTTGTATTCATCTATGCTTGTAATTTGTGTAATTATTCTTGTTTTATTACTGACTTTATTAGTTAAGCTGGTAGTTTTTGCTGTGGTATAGAAGTACTTAAAGTAAGTTTTCAGTAATAAATGATAAGCAAACTTTTTTTTGTTTTTTTGCTTATCCAAAAAATATTTTGTGATCCGTTGCACCATTAGCGTTTATGTGATCAAAAATACAGTAAAACAGTAATATTGTGAAATATTCTAACAATTTCAAGTTGTGACGATGGTCAAAAAACAAGCCGATTTGATGGTCAAATAACATTTCTGATTATTATCAGTGTTGAAAACAACTGCTTAATATGTTTTAAGCTTCTTTAAATGAGTAGAACGTTCAAAAGAACAACATTTGAAATGTAAATCTTTTGTAACGTAAATGTCTTTACTGTCAAATTTGCTGAATAGAAGTATTAATTGCTTTTAAATGAATTTCAGAGACAGCTCTTCACTTACCAATAATTGTCTCCACATATTCTGAATTGTCACTGACGTTGAAGAGATCTCCAGCACCCAGTGCGTAGTTTAAAGACTCCTCAAAAGCTCCGAGGTGGTAAAACACTTTAGAAGCCACCAGCGCAGCAAACTCTCTGCTACAAAACGTCTCATCCTCATACAGGACCTCGCTGACAGAGAAAAACTTAGTTCATCATAGGGCTGCACGATTAATCGAATGCGATTGTCATGCGCATTTTGTTAAAAAAGCCGGTTCTGTAATCAGCAGGAAATCATCATCATGTGCTTTCAGATGGAGCAGCATTTACTACACATAGCCGTAGTTCACTGACAAGTTACACAAAAAAAATCGCAGATGATTTTATTGCGCGATTCTGAAATCGAAGAAATCGTTGGCGATAATGACAGCTGTTTGCGTAGCTTCTCAGTGAACTACTGCTCTGTGTAGTAAATGCTGCTCCATCTGAAAGCATGTGAAAATACCACATTTAATAACAATATTTTTAATCCAAACTCACTTCATAACGTCAGTCGAGTGTTTGAAATAAACCCTTCTGTGAGATGATGTGGCTTCTTACACAGAATAAGGCACGCAACATATTTCATAGTATTTAAGCAGTGATAAAGGCATTGCATTATAAATATACTTTTTTTAATTTTAATGAAAATTATTATAATAAGAACTCAGATAAACCGTATATATTGCCGTAGTCGTGTATTTATTAGTCACGTTGAATCAATGAAAGCAGTTGAATCTTCTGTTTATTCAGCTGCAGCGATAGGCATTTCCTGGGTTTTTTCTGCGAGGCGTATTTGGAGTTTCAGCGCGAGAGCGCCCTCTGGCCTTTGGATGGAGATTTACTGCTGATCACAGAACCGTGCTTCACTGAAAGATACGCATGACAATCGTAGCTTCGGTTAGAAACGCAATTTCGATTCCATTTCGATTTATCGTGCAGCCCTAGTTCATCACTTCACTGATATCTAAACATTCATATGAAATTGTTCATCACTTTTACACTACAATGGTATTATTGTAATGGCAATATATTTCTTCATTAAAAATGTTTTTTTTTAAGCATTTTTTGAACAATAACTTATTATTATGATTATTAATTACTAATTTGTACAGTTTAATAGTATTATTACTACCAATTACTCATTTTTACGCTTTATTGTATTTTTGAAATAATATTTCTTCTTTTAGCTTTATGACTTAAAAAATATAAAATGAAAATAACTGAATGACAATAAATTATCATTAATAAAATTATAAAAGTAAATAAATAAACATAATACTGTTACAATAATACTACTGTATTGTAAAAAGACAAGCAATTAATAACAAGAAGAATTATTACTATTCACAATAGAATGTTTTATTTTAATTATCATTATAATATATTTTAAATAATAATAATAAATATATTACTATTCCAATAATGCTACTGTCCTGTAAAAAATACTCAAATTATTATTGTTCGAATTACAAACATAAATAAATATATTACTATTTCTTTCCTATTATAGTATTACAAGACAAATTCAAGTAATTACTAATTATAGTAATTAGTAGTAGTATTTAAATTGTATTTTTACTTTTAATTTTAAAAATTTGAAAATCACTATAAAATATCACTAATTTCACTATTACTATATTATTACTATTGTACAATAAAAATGAGTATTAAATAATAATACTTTTGTTTACAGAACAGCTGTAAAATTACAATATTACAATTGTTTCCCTCAAGATTCATGCTGTTCACATGGGGTACACTTTACATTAAAAAAATAAAATGAATTATATATATATATATATATACACACACATACATACATACATACACACACATATACATATATATATATATATATATATATATATCTCACCCCTGCTTAAACAGGTTAGAACATCATTCAGATGAGTCCATGGCAGTTTTATGTGCAATTCTCTTCTAAAACAATCAATGCTACTTACATTTTGTCTACAGACTCTGAAATCTCAGCCCAAAAGTCATTGACAATGGAGTTTAGTTTATGTAGAGCAAACTCCTTTAAAAGAAAAACAAAAGCTTGTTAATGCCACCTCAGTATAATAAGCGCTGTTGTGTTTGACAGAGCTCATCTGTACCTTGAGCTGCGGCTCGTCTTCATCCAGGAGGGAAATGATACCAGCTACAGAACAGCAAAAACCCATCAGTACAGTATATACAGTCTTCTCTAGCTTTCTATCCGTCAGTTATATCAGTCTCTTCTATGTTATGTTTAATGACAGTGACATGACAGATCTGCTAAAGAACAACCTCAGACATCCGTTTCATTCACAAATAACATATGCATGGCTTTTTGACATATTTATGCAGTAAAAACAATACTGAGACACATATAACACATCACATTTTTAATAAATCGCGCTAATTTCTTACTTTCGGTGGCCGATGTAAACAAACCACTGAAGTCAAAGTCATTAGAAATGACATTAGCAACCAGTTACACTATCACCACTGCATTTAGGCGCTAAAGTAGTACATATAAGAGTACATTTATTAGCAGAAAGCACAAATAACGTCGTAGAGCTCGTTAAAGTCACAGATGAGCCGTGCTAGCCGTTAGCTGTGTGACTCAGCTAAATCAAACGCGCTCTTTCTCGTTCACTCACCGGCTGAAGTGATCATGTCTGTCTGTGACTGTCACCGGATCTCCTCCAGCACAACGATTTAAACACACAAACAGTGAGAAGAAGAAGAATAAAGTCTATTTCACTCTCAATGAGGAGCGATCGACTGCTATTACACAACAGCAGCAGCAGCGGCTCAAACTCATCTGACAATGAGCGCTTGTGCGGGACGCGCCGGAACTCTGCCTGAAGATATCACTTGATGTTTGGTGTAAAATCACATACTGCGGAATACATGGAGGTGGCAGTTAGCAGATGTTATAAAAGTATTCTTTAATGGGTCATAGCAATTATTTTTAAATGAATATTTTAGTTGGGCAAGAGTAAAAAATAACTGTTTCCAGACAGGCTTTGAGGCGGTCAACCCTACAGCGGCTCTTCTTCTCTGCAGTTCGGAGAAGAGCGTTTGAAGCCGCTGGTTTATCTGCCACTCGGTGGTCAAACATGGAGAGCAAATTCACTTCTGTTTTTTTAAATCTGAAAATAAAATAAAAACAACATCAAATAAAATAGCAAAATAAAATTAAAATAACATCAAATAAAATAACAAAATAAAATAAAATGACGTAAAATAAATTAACAAAATAACAAAGTTAAATTAAATAACATTGCATAGCATAACATAAAAACATAACATAAAATAAGACAACATAACAAAATAAGATAACATAAAATAACAAAATAAAATAAAAACATGGAACAAATTCCTTTCTGTTTTTAAATCTCAATTAAAATAAAAATGAATGAATGAATGAATGAATGGCAACTTTTTATCTCACAATTCGGACCGTTTTCTCTTAATTCTATAATATCTATCGTGCCGGAAAGCTTCCATAGGACCAAATAAAATTAGAATAAAAAATGTCAGCCTGCAGTACTTTTTTTTACATTTATAGTGTTGATTTTAGTCATTTTAATAGTTTAATTAGATTGTTTTAATTGAACTTACTTTCCCCCGTCCCCTGGTTGAGAACTGCTGTTTTAAAGTATCCTGTAGGCCTATTTTACGAAGTGAAAAAAAATAACCTTTATTTGACCCTCTAACTCTAACACTTTCTATTCTATTTTAATTCTTCTTTATATTTATCTTTTTTTTTTATTCTTTATTTAAAAAAACAACAAAAAAACAAACACTAGCTTTCTATTTTTTCTATTCCATCTACTTGTTTTTCTTTGTGTGTGTGTGTATATGTGTATATATATATATATGTGTGTGTATGTATATATGTATGTATGTATATGTGTATATATATATATATATATATATATATATATGCGTGTGTATGTATGTATGTATATGTGTATATATATATATATATATATATATATATATGCGTGTGTATGTATGTATGTATATGTGTATATATATATATATATATATATATATTGCTGCCAACTATTAGTGTTTACGTCAGCCTGTCCTCTGTGCGTCTTTCTGAAAACTCCCGGGAAACTTTTCAGTGGCCAAAACAAACTGCTTTTACCGCCAACGGCACTATCTGCAACATAAAGAGCCATTGAGAAAGGACTCATTAATCGCATTATTTCTTTCTTCTAGGGGCCTCGATTCATTAGTCTCCCAAATCATGCGATTCAGCCAGAGTTGTGACCTACACAGTAAACCAAAAGCTGAAAAGGCGCTAGATGGGCAGCACACTCGGCTATCATGCCACAAACTACTGTCTAGATAAACAGCGCACTGTATTTTTAGGCTATTATGCTAAAAAGGCTGGTGTTTTATGGCAATGATACACCACAATGCTGTCGAAGTAGGTTCCTCGGGAGGTTTTTAGAAGATAATTGGCAAAAATGCTGTCTAGCTAGGCAGCGAGAAAACAAGCCGGTCCAGACCACATAAGGAGGTCACCATGATGACCAATGGCTAAGCAGTTTCTGAAACCAGAATCATAAGCAAACGTACAATTTCCGTGCAAATGCATGAAGGTCTACCCCTAAAGCTAACCGTCAGTGGGGCGTAAGCAGATCTACGAAGACGTATTAATGAGATTGTACGAATGCATATGAATTCTCGTGTTTTCCAATGCAAGTAAGCGTTCTGTGTGAATAGCCACTCACGCGCGAGATGCTTCAAAAATCGCGAGCAAGGTGATCAAACGTGTACGTTTATAGGCCCCCCCACCACCACCACCCCCACGGTGATACCGGTATTACCGGTGTTGTCACACGTCGATTAACCGGTGGGAAAATTTCCTCACCGTCACAACCCTAGCGTGCTTATAATACACAGAACGATATTGCGAGTTGATGTGGACACTAATATAGTTATCATTATAGTTATCTTTTTAGCTACCGCACTTTGTGTGAACAGTTTAAATACTTTTTTTGAATTAATTGAAGTTCAGTGCTGTGTTTTTAGAATGCCAGTACATGTGTAAAATGCTGCAAAAAGACAAGTGCGATGGTTAAACGCATTAAGTGTACATAGAAAAACTATTTTACAATTTGGCGAATTGATTCGTACAATCTCAGTCGTGCATTTTCGTACAATCTGCTTACGCCCCACAGACAGTTAGGTTACCGGGTGGGGTTAGGGGCGCTCCATCATGTTTCATTTTTTCTAAAAATCATAATCACATCATACAAATTCGTACGAAATCGCCTTGTCGTAAAGCAGTTGCGTTTTCACATGAAATCATGTTGGACTGATGCCCAACAGAACAGGAGTCCACTGGCTTGGATCTCTGACCTGCAGACATTGAGCTCTTCACAGCCCTGCAGGTGTTCCACCTGATCTCCTGCAACACATCCGGGGACTTTGTGACGTAACGTCCGGTCCATATGGCCTGTGGGGGGTGGTTAATGAACACTGCTCGCAGTGATCGATCCAGTAACTCCACTGAATCGCGACTCACTGATTGATCACAGTCGGTGTGAACGAGTCCCAGCAGAGCAGGACGGAGCGCGTTTCTCTTTATCCGCGCTCTCACGTCCTTCAGAATCTCCCTCAAACACACCCGATTCTCTTTATGGCACACATAATCGTGTTTGAAGGTGAATATGATCACGGAGCATTTAATGGCTCTCTGCTTTCCGCCGATGATTCGGCTTGAGCTCACGGTTTTGTTCTCGAGTGGATCTGGTTTCTCGCTCTTGCGGTGATCGGATGAACTCTGTTCGGATCGATCTGTGTGCGATTGGTCAGGGCTGCACACGTTTGTTTGGATTTTGATTTCGCCGTTGCTGTTGCCAGTACAGTCGCTGGTTTCTTCGCGCTCCCCGTTATTAAACATATCAGCGATGAAGTCTTGTAATCCGCCGGTGTCTCCATCAGGTCCTCTCACAGCGCTGATTAAATGAATGTTACTTTTTCCACCGATTTGATGCAGAATTTGTTGGAATGGATCATCACGCTCGCTTTCTGCAGCCATTACCGTCTTCACCGGTCACCTCGTTTATTTCTTTACGATAAGACAAAGTTGTCGACACACAAAACTTATTTGAAAAACTCACTGGAGAGCATTGTGACGGCGAACTCTCGCTGTGACAGTGGACGTGTCTCTGCCTCGTGTGTGGGCGGGGTTTATTTACACAAGATTGACAAGCTCGCTGTGAAGGTGGAAGTGGTACGTGTCTTCTGATTGGCTGAGCACGTGTGTAGGCGGGGCTTATGCTCACATGATTTACAAGCTAGTCGAACGAGTTAAAGAGGTGAAGCTCCTCTGATTGGCCAAGCCCATCTATGGGCGGGGTTTACGAGACGATAGGGTTGAAGGTGAAATCTTTATATTTTTATGATTATTAAGTACTTTTTATTTTGTAAGTTCCTCTCAATAGAATTTCAACAGTGATTTCAATTTAAATAGTAACTATAAATAACAAAATAGAGGGCTATCAAAATCTCTGATGTCTTTTCATTGTTTTTTTTTGCTATTTGTTTATACAGTCTATGGTATTTCCTCAGTATTTTGAAACATATATATAGCCTATACACAGTGTAAAGAGCCTGGATTATTTAGATTAGTATGGCATGGTTTTATAATTTGTATTTATTAAACTTACATTATGTTACTATTAAATTTTTCCTTAATTAAAAACGTAAAATAAAATGTCAGCCTTCGAAATCTCTATATAGACATTTATATTTAAACAGCTCTCTTCTGAATATTAAAAACAAAACAAAAAAACTCATTTTGTAATTAATGATAAACCGAAGACATGGGTAAACAGTCCTCCTGACCTTTAACCAGCTCTGACTATTTGCATTCTACTAAAGTTTTTTTATTTTTTTTTATCAAATAAAGTATGATGAAATCACTGTATGATTATTCATTTAATCTGATGTGTAATGTTATCATGTTTACTATTCAGTGTTCACTATGTCAAATCCATTAACACATACTTAGTGATTTTAATAAAAGTCAGACTTCTGTGTGTAATAATCCCATTATTCAACTGCTCAATAGCATGCTGTGAAATACATACATTATAAAGTTATAATAAATTATATAGTAGGCTATTTATTGGATTTAATGGCAAAATATGGCAGTCTTGTCATCTTAAAACTCGTATCCACTAATTCTAAGTCAGAGCAGATTGTGTATATTATGACTAAAATATGATGAAAGTTAGTCATTTAAATTACGGCAGATTTTCAGTATGAGGAAATTACTTTGAAAACACACTTCAGAGAAGAGGAGATGAAAAGCTTGGTTTATAATCAATATCTGTCATCTATATAATCTTGATGAATTAGAAAAGATCAGAAAGAAGGACAGAAAAGAGGTTACGCTTAGAAATAAAGAAACTTGAAACAATTTCAGTTACTTTGGTTTTTAAAACACAAGTACATATGACCAGAAAATGAACTGATACTTCATTACCAAATACCTTATCATAAGAGAACAATGAGTTTATTTAGGTTTCTTTGAACTTCCCATCGCTGACTCTGCAGATTGTTACAAGTGTGACTTCGCTACTCCTAATTAGATGGACACATCTGGTGTGAGTTGTAGGGTTAAAGCTAGAAAGATAAAAAAAAGTTACAAAGTGTTACAGCCCGGTTGCAAAAAAAAAATGATGAGAAAGTGGATCTTAATACAGCAGTATTCTTTTTATTTACATAAAACTCAGGAGCTAGAAACAAGAATAGAATAGCCAGGTCACAAGCAATAAGACAACCTGAAAGAAAACTCAGCGCTTAAATGGACCAATCAAACTAATAATCCAGCTAATAAAAGAAATTAACTGTGTGAAAATCAATCAAACAACGAGTAGCCAAGCAAAATAACTGCAAACTTGGTCACGGAACAAAAACATGTGATACAACCACCCAAAACCAAAACTTTTTTAAAATACATTTACCATTTATTTAAAATATTTCAAGTACTCATTTTTGACTTGTTGTCTTAAAAGACTTCTAGTTATCTAGCTAGTATAATGGTGCGTTCAAGTCATGTCGGATAGATCGTATTTACGAGTTGAACGCACATGAACGCCACCACAAAGTCGTTATTACGAGTGGGAAACTCGAAATGTTCTTTAAGCCCCGAGTTTCCGAGTTGGGGGCGTGTCAATGACAAACATGGCGGAATCGATGGATGCAACGTCTGTAGTTTACGGTAAATTTTTGTTTAAATTGGTAGTTTAGTTGTCCTATAAACTTAAATTGGTCATGTTCTTGTTACGCAGCTAGTTAATGAAATCCAAGTAAAAAAAATGCTATAATTTTTGCACCTATAGGTGAAAAATCTTTTGATTTGCCATGTTGCATGTTGCATTTAGCTAACAGCTTTTTTTAATCTCTGTATTTTAGCATTTGTTGGTGCTAAAATTCAGTTATACTGGGATCCTGGTCTAAAAAAATATAAAAAACGCAAAACACACCTGATGCGAATTCTTTGATCATTTTCTATCAGCAGAGTTAACAGACCCTGTTGTATTTTCTTGTAATTTATTAAAAGAAGGTCCACCGCCATCTTGTGCAGACTAAACTGACTTGAACGCACCTGACGTCGTAATTACGACTTGTCAACTCGTAAGTAGGAACGTCCCAGGAGGACTTGAACGCAGCATAACTCCGCGTCTTCGCGCCGCAACATCTTAAAGGCCTTTCCACACTGAACGCGAAAATTCGGCTCGATGACGCTTTTGAATGAAACAATAGATCCCTATGGGGCTATTCACACCAGGCACGATCATGCGCAAACAAAAACAAGGGCTGTATCTGAAATCGCCCCCTATACCCTCATTCACTATTCCCTACATTAGGCCACTCATACAGTTCTCTTGAAGGAGTGAATGAAAACGAGCAAGTTAATTCGGACACTGAGTGCACCGGAAGGACTGCCGCTTTTGCATAGTTTGTGCTTGCTGTTTATTAATCATTTGAAACTGGCAAACAGCTCCAGTAGACAATTTAATAATCAATTTACAATGAATTTACACTACCAGTCAAAAGTTTTTGAACAGTAGGCTAATATTCTTAATGTTTTTTAAAGAAGTCTCTTCTGCTCACCAAGCCTGCATTTATTTGATCCAAAGTAGGCCTACAGCAAAACAATGGAGAAAAAAAAATATATATATATAATTTTTTTTTACTATTTATAATAACTGTTGTCTATTTGAATGTATTTTAAAATGTAATTTAGGCTATTCCTGTGATTTCAAAGCTGAATTTTTAGCATCCTTACTCCAGTCACATGACCTTTCAGAAATCATTCTAATATTCTGATTTGCTGCTCAAAAAAAAAAAAACCCCATTTATTATCATTATTATGTTGAAAACAGCTGAGTGGAATTGTTTTCAGGTTTCTTTGATGAATAGAAAGTTCAGAAGGACAGCCTTTATCTGAAATAGAAATTTATCATGAAAGTATTTATCATCACTTTTGATCAATTTAAAGCATCCTTGCTAAATAAAAGTATTCATTTCTAATTTCTAATCTAATCTAATTTCTCCCCCCCAAGCTTTTGAATGGTATAGTGCAGGGGTGGCGAACGTCGGTCCTGGAGAGCCGCAGCCCTGCAGAGTTTTGCTTCAACCCTAATCAAACACACCTGCACAAGCTAATCAAGGTCTGAAGGGTTACTAGGAAGCTACAGGCAGGTGAGTTTTTATTAGGGTTGGAGCGACCGGAGTTCGCCACCCCTGGTATAGTGTATAATGTTACAAAGGCTTTTTTTAAAATTTCAGATAAATGCTAATCTTTGGATCTTTTTTTTTGGTTCTTTCTATTGATCAATGTACTGAATGTACTCAACTGTTTTAAATATTGATAATAATAATAATAATAACAAATAAATGCAGGCGATTTAATTATTTTTTTTTTTTAAACATTAAAAATCTTACTGTTCGAAAACGTTTGACTGCTAGTGTATGTCTGTGTTGTATTGCGCTGTATTACGCCGTGGACGAGCACTTTGTAAAATGAATGGATGGAGGATTCAGCTGCAGGCGCCATCTTCTGGCGAGATGCGGGAATTCATACGGTGCACGACTTTCACAGTGCATTATGGGTATTTTCTAGCCGCTGAGTGTGCACCAGTTGTACACTCGTTTTTGTGGAGCATTGTGGGATTGAATGAGTGCTCTTGAGAATGTCCACTATTATTTCGGACACCACTAAAAATGTCTGTCACCTGTTTTTTTTTATTTTTTAAACAGGTCGGAAGGGGCCGACCAATTAGATTTAAGCTTAGATCACGTGCCCAGAGCAGCTGTTGTTGCACAAAAGGGCGAGAGTACAGCGTACAGGCGTGAATTAGCAGAAGGCGATCAATTGTTTTGCGCTTGGTGTGAAAACAACATTCGTCGCTCAGTGTGGAACGGCCTTTAGGCTGTCTACACTGGATGCAACAAAGCGATCGTTGCAAATTATTTGAACTTTATGTCAGTACATAATAACTAGAATGAGGCGACAGTTTACTGTCAGGGATTTCAAGTGTCGCATCACCCCGCGCCGCATCCAGACAGCATCACTGATTATAATAGCATAGTAGTAGTCGCGCCGCTCGCATCCGGTGTAGACATTCCACAACTTTGAGATTTTGTATAGATGTGAGAGATTTTTTAAATTATTCACACTGAAGGGAGCAGCAATTATATAATATACACAAAATATTAAATATTACACAACACAGCTTAAGTGATTGTTGAGTTCAGAATGAAAAAGTACATGACTTAACCTAAAAATGAACTAAAACTGCAAAAAAAAAAACTAAAATGAACATTTTAATTGTTTAATTGGTTCTTGTAATCACAGTTTATAGTCAAATATATCTATAAAAATGAAATGGAAAAACACTGGACACTTCATTCAAAGATTGTTTGTAGAGGATTGCAGTTTTCCATGTCAGATCCTTAGGTCAACAATTTTCTTAATTTCTTCACAGTAATCTTGATGGTCCCACTACTGTTTGTGTGCTTGAAAAACTGCAAAGAAAATTGATAAGCACTGTAAGCACTATTGTTAAATTCAATCGGTAGCCTATAGGCAGTATTTGGTAGCCATGATTTTTACTTAGACTGAATCCACCTTATTTTCCCCATAAGAGCAGCCACGGCCATTTGTAAATTTAATGTCTGGCTTCCAGTGTTATCCTCTTGCAGCTATTTTTAGCTGTACAAAACATATAATTTAGCTGCTTAATATTGCAAACTGGTGTATCTTACCGTATTATTTTAATCTATTGAATTATATACATACGGAGTCCCTATGGACATTTGCAAAAATATAAAAATATACAGACTTTTGCGTGCATACGAGAAACTTTAGTTTGCTCATGAGAAACTTTCGCATGCTCACGAGAAACTTTTGTGTGCTCACGAGAAACTATTGCGTGCTCACGAGAAACTTTTGTGTGCTCTTGAGAAACGTCTCAGGTTACTTATGTAACCATGGTTCCCTGAGTAGGGAACGAGACACTGCGTCCTCTAGGGGTCGCTATGGGGGAACGCCTCGTCGTGACCCGTGTCTGAAGCATACATTGAAAAAACACCAACTTGTTGGCCGGCGACAGCCATGATGTCACTACTGGTGCGACTATAGTGTAAATAGGCGCCTGGAGAACACATCATTCACTTCTTCGTCTGAAGCATGCGTCCGCAGCATGGCAAGAAACCTAGAGGACGCAGTGTCTCATTCCCTACTCAGGGAACCATGGTTACATAAATAACCTGAGACGTTCCCTTTCATGGGAACTTCGAACTGCGTCCTCTAGGGGTCGTGCTCACGAGAAACTTTAGTTTGCTCACGAGAAACAATTTTGTGCTCATGAGAAACTATTGCGTGCTCTCGAGAAACTTTCACGTGCTCACAAGAAACTTTAGTCTGCTCACGAGAAACTTTAGTTTGCTCACAAGAAACTATCGCGTGCTCAAGAGAAACTATTGCGTGCTCACGTGAAACTTTCGTGTGCTCTCAAGAAACTTTCGCATGCTCACCAGAAACTTTAGTTTGCTCACGAGAAACTATGTCATGCTCACGAGAAACTTTTGTGTGCTCTCGAGAAACTATCGTGTGCTCACGAGAAACTTTTGTGAGCTCATGAGAAACTATCGCGTGCACATGAGAAACTATCGCGTGCTCATGAGAAACTATCGCGTGCACATGAGAAACTATCGCGTGCTCATGAGAAACTATTGCGTGCTCACAAGAAACTTTTGTGAGCTCACGAGAAACTATCGCGTGCTCATGAGAAACTATTGCGTGCTCACTCTTGTATGCTGGAATCGATGGATGCGTGAGGAAAAAACGGCCTCTTCCATTCCTTCTCAATCTTTATATGAAAAGACAGGAAGAAAGGAAGGCTCACCTGAGCTGGAGGGTTATGGCCAGAAAAATAACGTTCATCGAGATATTTCGCGACGTCACTTTCTTCACCCGCTTTACGGCAAGTAAACCCTCGCCGTGGCGCGATCCATAATTTCCAAAAGCTCATCATACGCAGGGCAGGAGGATTGGGAGGTCTCAGACTCAGCTTCTTTGCCCTCTTCAGCTACTTCCTGCTTTTGCTGGGCTGATCCCAGCAGAGCAATGGCCCCTGAATCAGAAAATGTTAATGAAATAACATCATCCTCCAGCGGCTCACTCTCGTGCACAACCGACGATATCGCGTGCTCCACGAGAAACTATCGCGTGCTCACGAGAAACTATCGCGTGCTCACGAGAAACTTTAGTTTGCTCACAAGAAACTATCGCGTGCTCAAGAGAAACTATTGCGTGCTCACGTGAAACTTTCGTGTGCTCTCAAGAAACTTTCGCATGCTCACCAGAAACTTTAGTTTGCTCACCAGAAACTATGTCATGCTCACGAGAAACTTTTGTGTGCTCTCGAGAAACTATCGTGTGCTCACGAGAAACTTTTGTGAGCTCATGAGAAACTATCGCGTGCACATGAGAAACTATCGCGTGCTCATGAGAAACTATCGCGTGCACATGAGAAACTATCGCGTGCTCATGAGAAACTATTGCGTGCTCACAAGAAACTTTTGTGAGCTCACGAGAAACTATCGCGTGCTCATGAGAAACTATCGCGTGCTCATGAGAAACTATTGCGTGCTCACGAGAAACTTTTGTATGCTCTTGAGAAACTATCGCTGCTCACGATTACACAACACGCGAGAAAGAAACTTTTGTGTGCTCTTGAGAAACTATCGCATGCTCAGGAAAAACTTTTACGTGCTCACAAGAAACTTTAGTTTGCTCACGAGAAACTATCGCATGCTCAGGAAAAACTTTTACGTGCTCACAAGAAACTTTAGTTTGCTCACGAGAAACTATCGCATGCTCATGAGAAACTTTTGTGTGCTCTCGAGAAACTATCGCGTGCTATTGAGAAACTATTGTGTGCTCACAAGAAACTTTCGTGTGCTCTCGAGAAACTTTTGCGTGCTCACCAGAAACTTTTGTGTGCTCTCGAATAACTATCGCATGCTCATGAGAAACTATCGCGTGCTCACAAGAAACTTTTGCATGCTCTCGAGAAACTATATCACCCTGCAGCCCAAGACTGGCTGCCCACTGAAGCTAAGCAGGATTGCCCCCTTGGCCCTTGTCAATCATGGCCTTCTAATAATCCCCAACCACTTGATTGGCTCTATGACTCTCTCTCCTCTCCACCTGTAGCTGGTGTGTGTTGAATGCACTGGTGCCATTGTCCTGTGGCTGCCGTCGCATCATCCAAGTGGATGCTGCACACTGGTGGTGGTTGAAGAGAGACCCCCCTCCACATGATTGTAAAGTACTTTGGGTGTACAAAAATACACAATAAAGCGCTATATAAATGCATCATTCAAACTTTCGCTGCTCATGAGAAACTTTAGTTTGCTCACGAGAAACTTTCGTGTGCTCTCGAGAAAATTTTGTGCTCTCGAGAAACTATCGCGTGCTCACGAGAAACTATTGCGTGCTCACGAGAAACTATCGCGTGCTCTCGAGAAACGTTCACGTGCTCACGAGAAACTATCGCATGCTCTTGAGAAAATATCGCATGCTCACGAGAAACTATCGCATGCTCACAAGAAACTTTCGCATGCTCACGAGAAACTTTTGCGTGTTCATGAGAAGCTATCGTGTGCTCTCGAGAAATTTTTGCGTGCTCTTTAGAAACTTTTCCTGTGCGCACACGTTACAATGTCCGATTTATGTAAACTATAACCTACTTCCTTTGTCTGTCACTGCAGTTTTACTGAGAAGATAATGAGAGTATGGATGCACAGGACTTAATAAAGACCTGTTTGCTCAAATACGTGCTTTTATACCTATATCACGACCTTATGTCCGCTTTAAAGCATCCTGAGATGGCCGAGACATTCAAGGGTCCAGTATACTTATATCACAACCTTACGCTTTAACGCATCCTCTGTGACAGCAGAGAAAGCTCGCTGTGAAATGGGCTGAATGGTGCAATATGACTGTGTGCATTGAACTTTAATTTTGGATTTTGTGTTGGTATTTTTTGTGGAATATGAGGCTGAATCCAGCTCCTTATTCATTTGTCATTTACTGAAAAGCCTTTATGTAACGAGATGCTTTGTCCATATAGCACTGCTTGCAATAAGCACTGTTAGAACTGAATAAAGGAACTCAGCATTTCTCCACAATCTCCAAAGATGCATTAAATCCGACAAAGTGATTTAATAAAGGATGTTTTGATCTTGTAAAGTAAGAATATTTTAACACATTTTCCATACCAATATATACCTCAAAATGTGTTTTAAATGTCAGAATCAGAATCAGAAAGAGCTTTATTGCCAAGTGTGTTTACACACACAAATAAGTAGGGCTGCCCCCTAATAGTCAACTAACTGTTAGTCGACCAAAATTTTATTAGCCGCTTAGCCACAGAGAAAAAAAATCCACAAGCAAAGTCACGCAGTCCGTGACGGACAGATCGTTAGCGGCTGGTCTATGTGGTAATACAGTACATCGGGCAGGACATCCAAACGCTTGCCTGTCATTCATCAACCTCAAATATGGCTTATCATCTGAAATATGCAAGTATTAGCAACTTTACATGGCTGCTCAATCTAATGTAAACCTATAGAATTGTGCACTATTGAAGTGTATGTGTGGAGTGTGGAAACTGAACAGTAGCGCTCACTGCAGACAAATGGATGCGCTGGTGCGCTCACTTGCTCTTGAAATACTCCATCATTTTTGCTCATACAGATAAGAGTAATACATCGTTCAAACATGTAAAGACTCTACGTTTATTTGTGTGCACTCACAATAACAACAAAACATTGCGCTTTTGTAAAATAATGAAAGCAAACAGGAATGTGCTTTCTGCCGCCTCAGTCTCTGTGAACTTGAGCGCAAAACTCTGTGTATACTTGCCTTACAGATATGAAAAACATCTACAGAGAGCGAAATGTCTACTTTCAAATGAACCAGTTCAAATGGAAAACAAATATTCTCGGATTATGTAATCTGTATGAAACATACATATAGGGGCATCCCCTATACTGCGGAGATGACGAGTCAGTGATGCCGACTTCATCTCTTAAAGCTGAAAACAAAGAAAACACCAGTTAGGGCTGTGCAAATAATTGAATGCGATTTTCATGCGCATCTCGTCAGTAAAGCCGGTTCTTGCATGAAAATCGCATTCGATTATTTGCACAGCCCTAACACCAGTGTATCAATACATTATTAAAATGTTAATGTAGCCTCCTTACTGTTTTTCCCTGACACATTTATAATAATTTCTTCTGCCAGTGTGCTGTGGCAAGCTTTATGCGTGTAATTGAGCGATTATTAGGCTATGTAGGCAATTAAAGGCTCATTATAATGATTTAAATGGTTTATTAATAAAAGTGTGATTAGTCGACTAATGCTTAAAATGAACGACTATTAGTTGACCAGCAAAATCTTTAGTTTAGGGCAGCCCTACAAATAACGAAGTTGCCTTGGTGACAGGAACTTCCAGTGGAGAAAGTACAGACAAAGTGCAGACATAAACCTACATATAATTTATGGTAATAGAATGAAATATAACACTAATAATAATGAGAACAGATAATAAATGTAAAAATAATAACTATATGGTCATAAAAAATATAGAGAAAACAGACAGAATTATGAATGTGCAAATGTTTTGAGAAGTTATGTACAAAATATAGAGAAAATAGAAAAAAAAATTATGAATGCACTATTTTACAGTAAACATTTTTGAGAAGTTATGTACAGATGTACAGTCCTGAGATGTTATGTATTGTTCAGGTGGAATATAGCCTGAGGAAAAAAGCTGTTCTTATGCTGCTCAGTGATGATATATCTGTTATGGAATGCAAGAACTGAAACAATGTCTTTGTACTGAAGGCCAAGTTTAAAATAGATTTCACTTCATTCATATGCATCCATACTCTTGTTTTCTTCGTTGTAAGACGGCAGAAGTGACGCAACTGGTAACTGTAATGCGTGAGCTTTCAAAAAGTTTATTGTGCACATGTGAAACACTGCTTGTGAACACGTGAAAGTCTGTATATTTTTTTATTTTTGCAAATTTCCCTTTAGGGGCTCCGTATTAACACACTGGTTTGTAGTGCAAACAGTTTTACTTTGCACTTTGTTATTCTTCTCATTATTTCCCTACAGCGGCTAATGAATCAGAAGTCTCGCACATTCAAAGAAAATGGTGGGAAAACGTCTCAGGTTACATATGTAACCCTGGTTCCTCAAGGGAACGAGACGCTGCGTCAGAAAACGCTAGGGGAACGCCTTCTGTGACCACTCTCTGAATAACATGTGAAATCAGTCCAATAGCTGAGCGGGACGTCACGGGCGGGTGACGTCATGACCAGGAAGCTATAAAAGCATGTGCGGCCTGCTCGCTAGCCACTCAGTCACACAAACAACATCAATCTCCTCAGAGAAAGAGGGCCACAGCACTCACTCAGAGGGGGAAGAACCGCAGCGCGGGCTTCCAAGCCCCGAGAACGAGCTCTAGATCTAGCAAACACAGGTGGAGATAGGAAAAGCTGTCTCCAACCCGTCTGCTAGATCATATGCGATCTCCGCGTTCTCAGTCGCCGCCGTGCCTCAGCAGCAGCGGGACCGCAATCGCAAGATCACAGGCACGGACACACTCCTCGGAGCGTGCCCGGCGAGAGCGGAGCGCTAGCTCCCTATTAATGCTGCTCATTATAATATCAGGCATAATATGCTTGTGTAACTGATGTTTGTGCAACTGGCGAGCTCATTGACGCCCTCCGTATCAATCTCCTCGGAGAAAGACAGGCGGAGCGTCGCGCCCTCTCCCCGGTGAGAAGGACCGCAGCGCGGGCTTCCGAAACCCCGAGAGCGGGCGTCGGATCTGGTGATTAGGAAGTAGATCCATACGCGAAACCCACGAGCACAGCCGCCGCTCCACCTCGGCGAAAGCGGGGCCGGCACCGCGAGGAACGCTAGTGAAGGCTCCCTCCTCAAAGAGAGCCCTCTGAGAGCGAAGCAAGGCAGTAACAACTGTGCTTCGCTCCCAAGCAAACCACGCACAGGCTGTGTGTAACGTTTTCTTTGGGCAGGGAGGAACACACAACCTACAACGTGGCTTGCTCTCGCCCTTGAAATGCTTTGTCTTTGCATGAGCTTAGACATAGCTGGAGCTTATAGACTTTCACAATTGACAGACAACAATAAATATGACTGACACACACAGAGGGCTTCGCTGAATGACAGAAAGCTGACGCTGGCTCCACCGCACGTGCTTTTATAGCTTCCTGGTCATGACGTCACCCGCCCGTGACGTCCCGCTCAGCTATTGGACTGATTTCACATGTTATTCAGAGCGTGGTCACAGAAGGCGTTGCCTCTTCTATGAACTCTGATCTGTAGTTCTTTCCATATATTTTCTATTGGATTCAAGTTAGGTGATTGGCTGGGCCATTCTAGCAGCTTTACTTTCTCTGAAACCAAATTAGAGTTTCCTTGGCTGTGTTTGGGATCATTGTCTTGCTGAAATGTCCAGCCTTGTTTCGGATCATGAGCTGATCACCTGAATGAAGTGAGCTCTTCGTTTTGAAACATGCAGCGAACTGACTTGATGAAGGGATTAAGCCATATTGTGCTTTCGGTTTTAGTTTGTTTGACAGATACTGTGCCAAAGCATAATGGCCCAAAACACAACTTTAAAGACTTTTTATGTTAAAATATTTTTAAAAATCTACACCCCTTGCCCAAATTACCTATATCGGTTCATACCGTCAAGTGACCACGATGATATCAAGACAGTTTTGCTATCATGATACCACAATATTCATAATTGGTGCGTTCCAAATGGGATATATCGCCCTCCGAAGGGCACTTTGGAGTGAAAACTGTGGTGCAGTAAACTTTAAACGAGCTTCAACATGCTTTTTCTTCAGCAATGGAGTCTTGCATGGTGAGCCTGTATGCAGGCCACTGAGGTTGAGTGCATTACTTATTGTTTTCTTTGAAATAATTGTACATGCTAATTCCAGATCTTTCTGAAGCTCTCCACAAGTGGTCCTTGACTCTTAGACAACTCTTCTGATAATTATTTTCACTCCTCTGTCAGAAATCTTGTGAGGAGCACCTGGTCGTGGCCGGTTTATGGTGAAATAATGTTCTTTCCACTTCCGGATTATGGCCCCAACAGTGCTCACTGGAACATTCAGAATTATAGAAATCCTTCTGTAACCAATGGCATCAGTATTTTTTGCAACAATAAGGTTGCAAAGGTCTTGAGAGAGCTCTTTGCTTTTACCCATCATGAAATGTTTCTTGTGTGACACGTTGGTCATGAGACACCTTTTTATAGGCCATCAGCTGAGACTGAACCAGCTAATATTAAATTCCACTGACAAGGGGCAGGATTGCTTTCTAATTACTGATAGATTTCAGCTGGTATCTTGGCTTTCCATGCTTTTTTGCACCTCCCTTCATGTGTTCAATACGTTTTCCCTGTGTCATTCCACTTTATTACACAAAACTTAATTTCTGAACTTATTTGTTTTGTTTTCTTTGTATTTATGGATTACTTGGGTTGTTACCGACATCTGGTGAAAATTTCATGTCATGGAAATGTCAACAGCACCTTTGGAAATATATTTACTGAGAAAAATGGTGACGTGTTCAATACTTATTTTACCCGCTGTGTGTGTGTGTATATATATATATATATATATATATATATATGTTAATGAAACAAATATCAGCTTACCTTTTCAATATATGTAACGATTTCATCATTGCTCAGCTCAACAAAGGATCTCATTTTGAAACTTATGTACGCAACTGCTGTCACATCTATAAAAAATCAGATTCATATCATCATATGTGAATAAAACTTTAATCTATTCACAAAACCTGGGTTGTGAATAATAATAAGAAGAAGAAGAAGAAGAAGAAGAAATGAATGAACCTATAAAATAAACTTTGCTTACTTTGCAGGACAGCTTCTGGAGTTGAGGGTGTTGATTGACTTGCTGGTTGAGTTGTAGACACAAGTTGAGTTGTTGTCAGTTGAGAGGTAAATGTTGGTGTTGCTGTTCGAGTTGTAGATGTTAATGCAGTTGATTTCAATGTTGATGCAGTTGATGTAGTTTGAGCTGTTGATGTTGATCCAGTTGATGTCACTGCTGGCACAGTTGATATTGTTGATAGAGTGGTAGATAGTAGTAGTTGATAGGTAGTTGGTGCAGTTAATGTTGAGGTTGGTGCTGTTGATATTGAGGATGGTACAGTTGTTGTTACTAGAGTGGTAGATGTTGGTGCAGTTGGTGCAGCAGTTGTTGGTAGAGTGGTGGATGTTGGTGCAGTTGTTGTTGATGGAGTGGTGGATGTTGGTGCAGTTGTTGCTGAGGTTGGTGCAGTTGTTGTCGATGGATTGGTAGATGTCGGTACCGTTGATGCTGAGGCTGCTGCAGTAGTTGTTGATGGAGTGGTAGATGTTGGTAAAGTTGATGTTGATGAAGTGGTAGATGTTGGTGGCGTTGACGTTGAGGTTGGTGCAGTTGTTGTTAACAGAGTGGTAGATGTTGGTACAGTTGTTGTTGATGGAGTGGTAGATGTTGGTGCAGTTGATGTTGGGGTTGGTGCAGCAGTTGTTGGTAGAGTGGTAGATGGTTCTGCAGTTGATGTTGAGGTTGGTGCAGCAGTTGTTGATGGAGTGGTAGATGTTGGTGCAGTTGATGTTGAGGTTGGTGCAGTTGTTGTTGATGGAGTGCTAGATGTTGGTGCAGTTGATGTTGAGGCTGGTGCAGCAGTTGTTGATAGAGTCGTAAATGTTGGTGCAGTTGTTGTTGACAGAGTGGTAAATGTTGGTACAGTTGTTGTTGATGGAGTGGTAGATGTTGATGCAGTTGTTGTTGATAGAGTGGTAAATGTTGGTGCAGCAGTTGCTTGCAGAGTGGTAGATGTTGGTGCAGTTGATGTTGAAGTTGGTGCAGCAGATGTTGTTGAGGTTGGTGCAGCAGTTGATGGCAGAGTGGTAGATGTTGGTGCAGTTGATATTGAGGTTGGTGCAGCAGTAGTTGGTAGAGTGGTAGATGTTGGTGCAGTTGATGTTGAGGTTGGTGCAGCAGTTGTTGGTAGAGTGGTAAATGTTGGAGCAGTTGTTGTTAGAGTGGTGGATGTTTGTGCAGTTGTTTTTGAGGTTGGTGTAGCAGTTGTTGGTAGAGTGGTAGATGGTTCTGCAGTTGATGATGAGATTGGTGCAGTTGTTGTTGATGGAGTAGTATATGTTGGTGCAGTTGATGTTGAGGTTGGTGCAGCAGTTGTTGGTAGAGTGCTAGATGTTGGTGCAGTTGTTAGTGCAGCAGTTGTTGATAGAGTGGTGGATGTTTGTGCAGTTGTTGTGGTGGTTGGTAGAGTGGTAGATGTTGGTGGAGTTGATGTTGAGGTTGGTACAGTTGTTGGTGATAGAGTGTTGGATGTTGGTGCAGTTGATATTGAGGTTGGAGCAGCAGTTGCTGGTAGAGTGGTAGATGTTGGTGCAGTTGATGTTGAGGTTGGTGCAGCAGTTGTTGGTAGAGTGGTAAATGTTGGAGCAGTTGTTATAGTGGTGGATGTTTGTGCAGTTGTTTTTGAGGTTGGTGCAGCAGTTGTTGGTAGAGTGGTAGATGTTTCTGCAGTTGATGTTGAGGTTGGTGCAGTTGTTGTTGATGGAGTAGAAGATGTTGGTGCAGTTGATGTTGAGGTTGGTGCAGTTGTTGTTGATGGAGTGGTAGATGTTGGTGCAGTTGATGTTGAGGTTGGTGCAGCAGTTGTTGATGGAGTGGTAGATGTTGGTGCAGTTGATGTTGAGGTTGGTGCAGCAGTTGTTGGTAGAGTGGAAGATATTGGTGCAGTTGATGTTGAGGTTGGTGCAGCTGTTGTTGATGGAGTGGTAGATGTTGGTGCAGTTGTTGTTGACAGAGGGGTTGATGTTGGTACTGTTGTTGTTGATGGAGTGGTAGATGTTGATGCCATTGATGTTGTGGCTGGTGCAGTTGTTGTTAATGGAGTTGTTGATGTTGGTGCAGTTGTTGTTGATGGAGTGGTAGATGTCGATGCCATTGATGTTGTGGCTGGTGAAGTAGTTGTTGATGGAGTGGTAGATGTTGGTGCAGTTGTTGCTGAGGTAGATGCAGTTGTTGTTGACACAGTGGTTGATGTTGGTGCAGTTATTGTTGATGGAGTGGTAGATGTTGGTGCAGTTGTTGCTGAGGTTGGTGCAGTTGTTGTTAACAGAGTGGTAGATGTTAGTGCCGTTGATGTTGTGGCTGGTGCAGTTGTTGTTGATGGAGTGGTTGATGTTGGTGCAGTTGTTGTTGATGGAGTGGTAGATGTTGATGCCGTTGATGTTGTGGATGGTGCAGTATTTGTTGATGGAGTGGTAAATGTTGGTGCCATTGATGTTATGGCTGCTGCAGTTGTTGTTGATGGAGTGGTTGATGTTGGTGCAGTTGTTGTTGATGGAGTGGTAGATGTTGATGCCGTTGATGTTGTGGATGGTGCAGTATTTGTTGATGGAGTGGTAAATGTTGGTGCCATTGATGTTATGGCTGCTGCAGTTGTTGTTGATGGAGTGGTTGATGTTGGTGCAGTTGTTGTTGATGGAGTGGTAGATGTTGGTGCCGTTAATGTTGTGACTGGTGCAGTTGTTGTTGATGGAGTGGTTGATGTTGGTGCAGTAGTTGTTGATGTAGTGGTAGATGTTGGTGCGGTTGTTGCTGAGGTGGTTTCAGTTGTTGTTGACAGAGTGGTTGATGTTGGTGCATTTGATGTTGGTGGAGTTGTTGTTTGTGCAGCTGATGATGTAAGTGAAAATAAAACAGCACAATAAGAAAGAAGAAAACATATACTTTTTTAAAGAGGAAAAACATGGCAGAGAACAGTGACCTATAGTGGAAATAAAGCAAAAATGGAAGTGACATCTCTCTGACCTGTAAATGAATTGTTTTTCAGTGTTTGTGATACTCTGTTTGAACATGGTTTTAAGTGAATTTGAGTGCTACAAGTGTGTAATTTTCATCTGTGACTGAAGGCTAGTTTCACTAGAAAAACAGGATTATGTTGTCTTTGGTGGCTGTTTCTACTAAGTATTGTTTAGTAACTAGTTCAACAGATTTTTTTTACGTTCAGTCAATTTCTCTCTTTAAAGTCTTACCTGAATTATTTTTTAGTTGGCTCAAACTTTACTGAACTAGTTTTATAGTCCATTCAACTAAAATATTTTAATTGGTTGAATATTTAGAAAACTACAGCAAATTATGTCAATTAAAATTTAACCATTTACTCCATGTGTTTCATATGTTACATTAATTAAGATTTATTATTTGGGCATCGTAAGAAATTGCTGTGGAACTAGTTATTACATTTTATACTGAGTTTAACAAAATTATAAACTGGTGTCTATCATTCACTAAAAGCACACACATTGCAAAACATAATCGCCTTTATTTAATAACAATCTGCATTTATAACATTTGCCATACAGACTAAACATGCAGGCTATATAGGAATAGTTAACCCAAAAATGAAAATTTGCTGTTAATTGACCCTCAGGCCATCCAAGATGTAGGTGACTTTTCTTCAGTAGAACAGTAAAGGAGATTTTAGGTGAAACCATTTTCTTTACCAATTCATAAACTGCACATCTGTGGCTGCCAGATTTTGCGAGCCAAAAAAACATACAAACAAGACCAAATTACCAGTGGTTACCAATCACCTGATGACACATTGAGGTCTTATTAAGCAAAACAGTCACTCTGTGATATTAATTTGATCTTGTCTGTATGCTTTTTTGACCCTCAAAAACCGGCAGCCACCGACGTGGAGTGTATGAATCGCCAAGGATCACCGTTTAAGATAAAAATCTTTACTGTTCTACTGAAGAAAAAAAGACACCGACATCTGGGATGGCCTGAGGGTCAGTATATTAACAGCAAATTTTCATTTTGGGTGAACCCTTGGGTGAAGCCACCCCCCCTTTAAAGTGCTCCAGTTGTCAAACATTACATTTGTAATACAACTGCAAAATTCATTTTAAACATTTGTTTAATGAACTTAAAAAAGACTAAACAAGTTAAACAAAATGTTTGCAAACAGATATTTACAAATATTACTACTGTTCACAATTACATCTTTAAAATTAGGCAAAAGTCAGAAAAAAATAAATGAACCAGTTGATACAGTATACATTATACAGTGAACTAAGTCAAGTCAAGTCAAGTCACCGTTATTTATGTAACGCTTTTTACAATACAGATTGTGTCAAAGCAGCTTTACAGTATTAAACAGGAAAATAGTGTGTCAAAGGAACCAAAACTCAAACCAGCAGTTGAATTCCAGGCTGCAGCAAAGTCAGATTGTGCAGAGGACTCATCTGGTTCCCGTGGTCTTGTCCCAGTGGCCGTCTAGGTGACGAGGTCTTATGAGGGGATCTGTCTCTGGGGCTCATCTAGCTGACATGGACTCCATGGTCATCTCTAGGTGCTGATCCACCATCTGGACTGGATACGGACTGGATCTGGGTGGCTACATTCACCTCGGAATAAGAATGAAACAGACTAATAATAGTGCAGATGCCACTGAGAACAATAAAACACATTATAATTGTAGTAAAAACATTTACTGATCTACTGATTCACTACCTAGGGAGCTGATGGACGGCCTTGTGAAAGGATTCAGTTGTTCATTTTCTTTTGGAACGACTAACTCCCTTCTGAAGTGCCATTCACGAGACCATAATCACCATTTTGAATTAGCTCCATTTGAAAAGAGCGACATTTCAGCGTGGCTTGTTGTTAGTCAAGTTTAATGTCGTCTTTTAACTTCATGGTACATTTGCAAAAGTTTGCACACGCAAAAACCCATTCAACACGCCCATGTTAACTTCAAATAACCGTATTACTGTGGTTTGCATTACACGTTTCAAAGATTTCGGTTTAGTCGAATTAAGCATCAACATGGCTTATAAAGAGAGAAAGACAGCGCAATCTCTTCATGTTTTTTAACATCACGGAAACACAAAAATATCATACAACACGCCAAAATTAAAGCTAAAATTCATTATAGTAACAGCTTTTGACATTTATGGATTAAACAAGATGAAAGACCATGTTCCCTTAACTTAAACAGTCATTACCCTCAAACATATAATTCATACAACGCTTATTCAATGTTTTTATGTGGATATACGCTTGTGTATAAATATATTCGTTTTAAATAAAACGTTTACACCTTTTAATATATACCTTTAGTCTAAGTACAAATTTTTATTAAGTGCCACTGATGTGTGAACTTGACGTAAACTTAACTTAAATGTTCACGTTTCTTTGGACATACAACTTTTAAATCCACGCAAAAACATTGAATATGTTGAATGATTTTGTCGATAAATTTAGTCTAAAAAATGACATTTATTTAGTGGCACTTACCTGACGCGTGAACTTGACAAGATGGCGCTGGTGTTTCTCCTGCGAAGTCACTCAGGCTCGTGCACGTGCGGAATGATCTCAGTGTTGACTGGATTTGTTTTTATTAGGTTAGTCAACATTGGCAGTCTGAATTGTTGACTGGATTTGAAAATAACCCTTCATTAAATGTTTTTAAAATATATTTTTGTACATCTTAGCAACTAAGCCCAGGCAATAAAGTTAGTTCAACTTATTAATATTTTAACTTATTAATATTTGTGGCTTTCCAACATTTTGTTAATTGGATTTTTTTTTTTTACAGTATAAGTAATAAATAATTAAATAAGTAAAATAGTTAATAGCTGCACTTTTCCATACAAACAAAACATTGAAGTTGTTAACCCTGGGGTTCTCCTACCTAAATTTTGATTTATCCCACAAAGAGGAACTACAATCACTACAAAAATGGATGACATACATATAAATCCATTCTGCTCTTATTTTATGAACAAGTCCCGATGTTTTTGTGTGTGTGACTGAGACAAATGAAATCCACTGTTACATGAATCTACCTCTGGCAGGTGTCCTTATAAATATGCACATATATTCTGCAGCTATGAGCTTAACTTAACCTAACAATTACACATATTATTAGTTTTTTGAAAATAATTTAATCACACCACCGTTTCTTTAATAAAAACACTAATAGTTTCCAATTGGTCACCAGTTATGATGAACTGTTATGAAAACTGATCATGTGGGAGCAACTACAACAGCTCAATGTCCCTTTGGTAACAAACAATGCAGTAATGAACTGCTACATATTTCACTATCAGTTATATTATCGAGTGTTTTTCCTTATTTTTTTTTCTTGTAAATATTGGAAATTAATACAACATGTAGGTACAATTCAGGCAGAATGTAAAAACAAAAAAACAAAAAAACAAACAAACAAACAAACAAAAAAAAAAAAATATATATACAGTATTTCTGATATTAGCATGCTTAACAACGCTCTTCAAACTGCAATGAAAAAATTACAATTAAATGTACAGTAATATTTGTTAATTTAGTCCCCCAAAATAAAACAATAGGTTCTATATCTAATTATTATTACTAGCCAGATTTTTTTTCTTGTAAATATTGGAAATTAATACAACATGTAGGTAGTTGTTTGAGTTGTAGAAGTTGGTGTAAATGTTATTGATTGAATTGTAGATGGTGCAGTTGATGTAGATGTTGGTACAGCTGTCAGTTGAGCTGTGGATGTTGATGCAGTTGTTGAATGAGTTGTTGATGTAGTGGATGTAGATTTTGGTATTGCTGCCTGAGTTGTGGTTGTCAGTGTAGTTGATGTAGACATTGGTGAAGAGGCTGTTAGAAATTGAGATGTAGATGTTGGTGCAGGGTTTGTTGTTGATTCAGATGTAGATGTTGAAGCAGATGTTGTTGACTGAGGTGTAGATGTTGGTGCAGCGGTTGTTGATGATGTTGTTGTTGATTGAGCTGTAGATGATGTTGTAGCTGATGTAGATGTTGGTGCAGGGGTTGTGTTTGTTGATGGAACTTTAGATGTTTCTGTAGTTGATGTAGATGTTTGTGCAGGGGTTGTCTGAGCTGTAGCTGTTTGGTTAACTGATGTTGGTGCAGGGATTAATGTTGATTCAGATGTAGATGTTGGAGCAGGTGGTCTTGATTGAGGTGTAGGTGTTGGGCCAGGGGTTGTTGTTGTTGACGTCATTGTTGCTGATTGAGTTGTAGATGTTGCTGTAGCTGATGTAGATGTTGGAGCAGGGCTTGTTGTTGTTGTTGATGGAACTGTATATGTTTCTGTAGTTAATGTAGATGTTAGTGCAGGGGTTGTTGTTTCAGATGTAGATGTCGAAGCAGGTGTTGTTGATGGAACTGTAGATGTTGCTGTAGTTGTAGATGTTGGTTCAGTGGTTGTTGTTGATTCAGATGTATATGTTGTAGTGGATGTTGTCGAATGAATTGTAGATGTTGGTGCAGCGATTGTTGGTGATGATGTTGTTGATTGAGCTGTAGATGTTGTTGCAGCTGATGTAGATGTTAGTGCAGGGATTGTTGCTGATAAAGCTGTAGATGTTGATGTAGACGTTGGTGCAGGGATTGTTGTTGATTCAGATGTAGATGTTATTGATTGAGGTGTAGATGGCGGTGTTGTTGATTCAGTGGTTGGTAAGTGAGATGTAGTTGTTGTTGATTCAGATGCAGATGTTTCTGTAGTTGTTGGAGATGTTGGTTCAGTAGTTGTTGTTGATTCAGATGTAGATGT